GCTGTATCAGCGACCAGATAAAACTCATCTGGCGTGCGAGTGCAAAGCTTTTCATAGATAGGCAGGGCAACCCGAGAGTCGTGCCAGCTGCCTGGAGCATTGATTTGGGCAGCAATAATAGTCCCTATTGTTGAATTGAAGAAGTGCATGAATTTCAGAGACTGAATCCTACCTTTGGGCAAAAAAATAAGAACAGAGCTGACATAATGAGCACAAAGCCACCCATTGTAAGTTGTGTTCTCTATTTCTTCATTGGCTGATGTTTGGCATTCCAGATTGAGTCCATCAATACTCACAAAAGCACTGGTTAGGCAGGGATGGTGCTCGACAATCAAATTGTTGTGCTCACGGAACTCGTCCGCATGCACAGGCCACTTTATTCTACCAGCAGGCATCGTACGGAGGACACCCAAAAGGATCTGGAGACCAAATGTGATGTACCGGGAGATGGTAGTTGGAATACACGCGAAGATTTGCTGGAGGCTGATCTCCCGCATTGTTGAGTTCAAATAATGGCGGACAAGCCCAAGAGCTCCGGATCCATCAAGGGATCGTGCACCTGGACGTGTCCATCCAGAGCTAGATGTGTCCTCCCGTGGAATGGAGGTAGTCTCCCATGCAAAACCAAATCCCGCATCAAGGATCGTGTTGAATGTCGCGACATCGAAGCCCATAGTTGTGATGTATGCCTGGTCATTTTGTGACCGATGCAGTACCTGCCATGCAGTGACTTCCCGGGGGTTTGGTAGTTGTGGCCGGCAGAGATACAGCCTGCTTGGTTGTCGCCGCTCTGTCCGCAGTCAATGGGCCTCAATTGCGCCAAGACAAATAATGGCTACAGCGTACCCTGCAAGCTGCTGTTCTTCGTCCACCCCGTCCATCTCGATCTCCTCGAGCTGTTGAAGGTAAACAAACACGTTGATATGCCCACTATCTTTAGTAGTGGGTCCTGTAGGCGCCCTAATTTCATAGAAGCCCCGCCAAATTTTGAATCTTTGATTTATAACAGTACCAAACATGAAAATTGGGTAAGCCCAACAATGTACGGCGTGGGTTCGAACCCTGAAATCTGCACTTTTTTTTGCGCCGCAGTTCTGGTTACAAATCAACTGAAATACTTCCAGAGCAGATTCTTGCACTACATCTTGATTCAACTTTGAAATTGGGGCTGATAAATAACCAGTCAAATTCATTTTAACCAGTGTTTGATATACACAAGTGCAACATGGCATAAAAATGCAACACTCATTGTTCAGGTTGTTCTGGGGCTTTGATAAATCCAGTATTCTACAGGAACTCACTGACATTACTGGTATCTTAAGCAGATGGTGCGAATCAGATTGTGCATGTTTATATTCTTCTCTATTTGTGCTTTTTTCCCCGTCCTTCTGGGGCCCTGCTCCAAATCCATTGTCTCGGTCGCCTCAAAGTTTGCCCTCCTCACGTTTATTTTCAAGCATCACGGATTAACTTTGACCTTCCCTTTTCCGTGCTGGCGCCACTGTATCCAGAATACTCATGTGAGATCGCTCAAAGCCCGCTCGAAAGGATGCGTAATAAGTTCTTTTATCTCATATATTTGATGATGGAAATTATTCTGCTGCTTCCACCTCTTCGGTGTAAGCTATGTCGAGGCAGATGGCTCGGCAGCATGTCATATATTACTCATATATCAAGTAGATGCCCTGAATCAGATTGCACCTGTCTATGGCAGCCTTCTATTTTTCTCACTCTCCATCCGGCAGCTCCCGTATGTCCATGCCATTTCCCATTTTATTTAGTAGGTGTGCACGTTAACCTGTGCATCAGAAAATAGCTTCGGTCCAGGGATCTAGATGATCCACAGCATTATTTTCCACATCCCCGATCAACCGCTCAATATCCGTTCAAAAGGAACGCCCTCCTTCGCATGCTTCTTCCCTCTCCCACCATCTCCTACGGTATCGAATTGCTCTGTTTGTCGCGTTTCACCCCCGACCCACTCTGTAATCAACGCTACGCACCCAGATTTGTGTGATCATGTAAGCCGGCACCAGCTCTCCATGGAATGTCAATGTGGCCGGGGTGGGTAAGCGTCACAAATATTGCGAATTCCAGTCCCCATTGCTTTCCACCCCGATGATGTAGGTTTTGTTTATCGGATGATATGCTGCTTTTCACCGACTTCTAAGCAATATTGACAGGTCGGGTCTCTATTTCTGGTGCTCCCTGTATGTCCGCTGGATTTGGATGCTTGGTGTTCACCTTTTGACCTCCAGGCTGTATGTCGAGCTGTCTTGACTCTCAAGATTGGTCCAGTATCGCAAGCCATAGTGGTATATGTCTATCTTAAACTCTCTGCCGCTCGCTCACATTCCGACGTAGGTTGACTTTCGCCGCCATCTCGACTAAAGCAAATGATCTTCTACTCAACGTTGCGTCCTTATATTCAAGATTTCCGCGTCCGCGCAGGCGGCCCAGCGAATTTTTGGGGTTGTGAGTCATCTCTCATCGTTTCCCTAAAACAGCGGCTATTTTCTGACCCACCGTGTTGCGATATTCAATTTTTGCGCTCCAGTGATGTGGAACTCAGCGCCATGCACACCACAGTATCATTCGAGCTCCTGTGCGGAGATGCAATGCCGTGAGAATTCTTTCATCCAGATGGTTTTCGTTCTGCGATATCAATTACTCGGACCTTAGGTCTAACGCGTGCGAGTATCGCCGTCCGCCGTCGATGCCTGATTTGACTCCCCCTGCACACCACATCCGTGTTGGACACGTTCTCACTGTGTCCGCACAATTGAATATATTTGTGTTGGATTTCTCTCCTGCGGAGCAAGTTCAGGTGCCAACAGGCATTTGGTGGGTGCTTTAACCACATATTGTGTTCCACATCGTCGGGTTCGATTAATACTTACTCACCGCCGCCGTTCCCGCAGTCCGAACGCGTCCCCGAAGAACGTCAACATCGTGGATGCAGTTTTGGACTTCTGAAATGGACGGAATGTAACAACGGTGCGATATTTCCTATTTCCTTTCTACTGGATGGATATTTTATTTATGGTTCGCAGCCCTGACGCACTCCTTTCATTGAGCGCGGCATGCCCACATCCAGTCTTATTTCTTCATCGAAAGCCCGGCTACTTACCCAAGTGAGTATTGACGTTTGGTCACAACTATTCACTTTCGATGCTGGTGTTCAAGTGAGCTGCTAGCGTTGTAGGAGCTCACCCGCAATTCACGTCGCTGTCTGGTATGTCTCTCACAGTTTGACTTTCCGACACTTCCTCATGTCCATCAAGTCTTCGGTCCGTTATTTCACCTGCCCTGGTATTTTCCAAACATTCATTAGTGTGCAGCGTAGCCTGCAACAGCGGCCGAGGAAAGAGGGGCAGATCATGTATGGACTATGACCTGTTGTAACTGTATCTTTTACGAAACTTGATTCAGCCTCTAGATCCATGGCTACAATGTACCGTAGTTTTACAATGTAAATGATGATTGCTTGCCTTTGCACTTACTCCGGAGCGAAGCGAAGGCACGTCTTGTATCCAATAATGAAGTCCATAGGAAGATCCAGCCAAAAAAACCCTCTGAGAGCAAAATTAATAAATGACCATGTTTGAATTGTAACCAACAGACAACGACGGCAAACACAACAATGTTTTTTGGATGGCTCAGTGCTTGTCATGGGGCATAAACTGGGGCTAGGTAAACCCATACCAGGTAATCCAAAACAGCATCAACAAATTGTATCAAGATCAGGATTTTTTTTTTTTTTTTGAACATAGAAGTTGGTTCGGTTCAGGTATTGCTTGAACCTGGCACTGAATGTGAGATTCTCAGTGGAGGTCAGCATTTGAACATACAAACTGAACTTTTCTGCTTCGCCTGTGAGCTGAAACTTTGGACACCCAACTTGACAGATTGTGTCCATTGTATTGTGATCATGAATGGCTTCATTATATTATCAGATAAACCCATCAAGATGGTGGAGGCTGAAAAAATTGCGTACCTTGTCCTTGTGTTAACCCATAAATCATTTTCTTTTACCACAATCTTTGCAGTACAGATGAGCTCAATATTGAGCGAGCATTTTTACCGGGCCTGCAATTAGATGTTATTAGCAAATTACCCATGTCACCACTCAGGGGATTCAAGCAGCAATCAATCACAGCTAACAAGTTTGAGACAAGATTAGGCATTTTCTCGAGAAGGGAGAACAAAATTAGTCAAGTTAGGCAAGAAGTTAAAAAATGTATCTGGGTTAATGTGGACTCCGAACCAATACTCCCCATATGCAGCTTGAACTGTGGTATACAAGCAACAGATAGTGGGCTTTGCCGTGAAGCGCGCTACCCCGAGTTATCCATGGATGATGCAGTGGGAACGTGTCGGTGGGAGTAGAGATGTGTTATATGGTGTTGTTTGGCAGATCCACAATTGGTACGTCTGGTCAAGTGTCCGTGAAAAGCCTAGTCTATCTCTAAACTCAAATAACTCTTACGGGAACAACGAGGAATAGATTTAAGAATTAAATCCCACATGCCGACATCGTTGGCACCCCTCGATATTCCGTGAAAATGATTTAATTGTTACGGGAAGTCACCCACTGTGAAACACCCCACATGTATCTCCTTTTTCTTCCCTTTTTGCTCCCTTCTTCTTATAATCTGTGTTTCCAACCTAACTAACGAGTAGTAGTGTAGCCTGCAACCATTCTGAAAGTATGTCAACTTCTCAAAGTATTTAAGATACCGAATTCGAACCCACAACTACTCACACCAATTAAAACACGAAAAGGGAGCAAAAAGGGGATCAAAAAGGGAAAGAAAAGGGTGCAAGGAGGGAACCGTGAACAACCCTAATATCCTTTCTGTGGAACGCGTGGGTTCGACTCCCACCGAGGGCATGCGGCAGACGTTTCTGTTTGCTAAATTCAAGTTTCAGTATTTCATTATTTTTGTTCGTTGCAGTTTTGATTTGATATATACATATAACTTACTAGGGATCATCAAGTCCTCGTAGATCAGTCGGCAGATCCCCCATTTCAAGTTAGATAGCCTTGGAGTTTCCAGTGGAAGATGTGGGTTCGATTCCCACCGAGGGCGTCGGCTTTGTCCTTGTTTTTCTTGCTCCATAGTTTGCCTCATATTTTTTTCAGTTCAATCTCTTGTGTCTGGCGATTTATCTCGTCCTCGTAGGTTAACTGGCAAACTGGTCCGCCATTACTATCAGGCAGGTGGAAGCCGTGGGTCTGAATCCCACCGCCGGGGAACATGCGCATGCGTTTCTTCTCGTTCTTTTTCTCTCTGCTTTTCTTGCTCAACGCTCAACGGCGAGGTTGCCACTTTCGTCTCAAAGTTTCACACAGCGGATTCTACACTCGATATTGATCTAGTTCTCGGATTTCATCGTATTGGTATCGTACACCTGCTTCCTCTTCCCATCCTCTCTCTGCCCTTCCTTCCTTCTGGCTACTACACCCGCTCGCCACTCGTTACACCCGACATTGAAAGCAAAAAACTGAGAGACACGAGAAAGGGGAGGGTGCAATTAGATTAGAACATGCTCCCCTCGGGCGGCTGGGGGAGCTTGCGGTTGTTGGGGGAGGCCATTTCTCTGTGGGTGGAAATAATGGGGTCAGGATGTGAAGAGATGGGAGAGAGGCGGGGAGGGAGGGAGAGATGGGATGGGGAACAGCCCGGCGCCTAATAAGCTGAGTCATGGGCGGTATTCCATTATCGCTACGAGCGAGAGTCGCAAGGAGAAGGCGGAATGAGACGGGGATGGAGGGGGGACAGAATAATCGGGACAAAGACCAGGACGAGGATCGGAACAGACATGAACACGCACTTCCGTATCTCGACCAAGACATGCTCGAGGCTGCTGGCGCGGGACCAACCGGCGAGGACAGGGAGGCGGGAGGGGTCGACGTTGCCGTTCGTGGCAGAGACGAAGGGGAGGTTTACGCGCGAGAGGAACTGGAGTGGCGTTTCATTTCGTGAATTTAGGCGTTCATGCATTTGATTGATTGAATGAAAGCGAATGAAAGCAGATTTGGCAGCGTGCTCGTCAGAATATATCCGATGGGGTGGGGGAGAGGGAGAAAGGAGAAAGCACACCTGGACGGTCGGTGGCGAGTCGGGGTAGTTGTCGCCGCAGGTGATTTTGACCGAGTAGATCCGGTTCTCGTGTACCGTCTGGAGTAATGCCATAATAAGAGAGTTACAGTGAATGGTGAGGAGGACAACGACGCACATGCCCCGGCCCAATAATTGTGCCGTTCCAGTGGCTCATCATAATGTCGTCCGAGTCCTCAAGGCCGTACGAGCACGACCCGTCGCCGATGCCCTTCTCGCCCTTCTCGAGCTCCTCCAGCAGCCGGAAGTTGCGCGGCACTATGCACGCCCGTCATCAACGCACGTAGAGTACATAGCAGAAACTGGACGCACTCTTAGCAGCCATGGTGTATGGTCGTTGTAGATAGTAAAGGGAAAGAGATGGAGATGGATTAGATGTGACAGTCACAGCGTGACCCTGCCACAGCTTACCGCAGTGAGCATTCGCACTGCTTTGATTCTCCTTGCTTTTGCATTCTCTTCTTCGACTTCGACGCCAGCATGTTCGGCGGCGCAGCGACAAACCCATACGACGACATTGTCGGTGCGTCTCTGCTCTCAGGGTTATACAAAGGATAAGGATGCTTATATCTCGTACTTGTATAAAGTCAAGACCACGGACGAGCACCTCACCTCAGAAAACTGGGAACTCATCCTCAACCTCTGCGACAAGGTCCAAGACGAGGGCTCCGAGGGCGCGCACAACGTCGTCGCCGCCCTGCTCAAACGTCTCACGCACCGCAACCCGAATGTGCAGCTCTATGCGCTGTCGCTCGCAGAGGCGCTGAGTAAGAACTGCGGGATTGGCCTGCATAGGGAGTTGGCGAGCAGGGCGTGGACGGCTGGGTTGGAGAGGGTTATTACGGATCGGGTGAGTGGTGCTGGCTGCTGCTTTGGTTTTCGTTTCGCGGGAGAAGGCGGGCTGTGGAGTGTGGACTGCGGGCAGGTGTGGCGGCTCCATTATTCTGTGCGCTACGCGGCAGCGACGACCGGACAATGGCGTTTGTGCAGTCGCTGGCTAGGCTGCTCTATTGTGTTCCCGCCCAATGCCCGTTCGCCGGGAAATGGCGGAACGTGCGCAGTGATAGATGCTTCCCTTTCGCTGCGGCAGGCGGTGTGGGTCTCAGCATCTGCTTTCCGGATCATCGACGTCACCCCTACGCCTACGTCTGCACCTACGCCTACGACTGCTCAGGCTGTCATGCCGCCGTCTATCTCAGAGGCGTTGGGACTCGGGATATCGCATCATATTCATATTGCGGGGATCGCCACATTACTATTAATCCGGTCGTCGATGCCCTCCCGCCTTCGTGGAGCGCGCCCAAGGCCTAGCTTTGGTCGGGAAGGGCGGATGACGGCCGTGTTGCCCATACGTCCGCTTGGCTGATTGCGCAACATGACGGCGGCGTTGATGATGTACATCGGACCCCCCGGTGTTGCACCTCCGCCAAGCCCGTACCGTATGGACGGCGCGAGCTTGGCTGGCGGTAGCCATCTTGCAGGTGTCGATCATGTGCGCTAGACGATGTTACGCATCGGGACTAGACTCGAGTGCGGGGGGTTTCCCCGCGGGATCGTCGCCTCGAGTGGACCGCAGATCATGTAGCGTCGGGGTCGTCCGCTCGATTTGCCATATCGGGTTCCTCGCCCTTCTCCTCCCTTCCCGCCCTCTCTCCCTATATCTCCATTTCATATCCATATGCTAACCTCCCCACCCTCCCACAGAACACCCACGAAAAAGTACGCACCCGCGCCCTCGGACTCGTCGCGATGTGGACCGCCGAGTTTGCGGACGACAGCACGCTCGGCGTTATGCAGGAGTGTTATGATAGTTTGAAGGCGAAGAGTGGGTTTTTTTCTTCTGGTCTTCTTTCTTCTCTCACGTTTCGTGAATACGACGCTTCTCCTTCTCCTTCAATTCCCCCACTCCTTCATCCATCCACATTTATCGTGTTCTCTCCCTCCCTCGCCTCCGCCTACCTCGCTTCTCCCTCGCCTTCGCCTACCTCGCTTCTCCCTTTCCTACTCCTCCCTCCCATCCTCGCTTCTCCCTTTCCTACTCCTCCCTCCCATCCTCGCTTCCCCCCATCCATCCATCTATCCGCTTCTTCTTTACTTCCCATTATCTTCCTTCTCCCGTCCCCGTCTCGCACCCTCACACCGCTCACTCCCCTCCATTTTCCCCACTCTAAAAATTAAACCGCACACTACTGAATTTCATTTCACAGACTACAAATACACCCGCCCCGAATCCCCACCCCCACCCGCCGTCGACGACGCCATCCGCCGGCGCGAAGAGGAAGAGCTCCAGCGCGTCCTCGAGATGAGCGTGCGCGACCGCGGGGGAAGGCAGCCGTATCCGTTTGAAACTGAGGCTGCTGCTGCCGGGGGGTCGTCTGCGGCGTCGGCGTACAGCTCCACATATAATAACACTTCTACTTCTGCGGGGGGTAGTGCGGGTGGGGCGGGGGGGAGCGCGTATGGGGGTGCGAATGGGGCGGGAGGGAGTGCGAGTGGTGGGGGTTATGCGGGCGGGTATGCGCCTGCGGCGCAGCAGCCACAACGGGAGAGGACGCCGAGCCCCGGGCCTGGTGGTATGTTTTCCTCCCTCTTTTCCTTTTACTTTCATTGACTAACTCCCTTCCCCTTCCCTTCAGAAACCATCACCGCCCCCACGCCCATCCCCGACGGCGCCATCGTCACGCGCGTGCGCGCCCTGCACCCATTCACCCCCACCGAGGCGGGCGAGCTGGGATTCGAGAAGGGGGATGTGATCAAGGTGGTGGATCGCGGGTATCGCGATTGGTGGAGGGGCCAGTTGAGGGGACGGACGGGGATTTTTCCAGTTAATTATGTGGTGCGTATGCAGCGCGGCTTCTCGTCTTTTCTCTGTCTTTGATTGGAACTTTCGGCTCGGCTGGGGCGCCCCGATTCTGCGTCGTTTCCCATTCGTTCTTTGAGAAATGGAAAATAATCAGTAACTGACGTGATTCTGTATCTCAGGAACCCCTCCCGGAGCCCACGCCCGCCGAGCTCGCAGCGGAGGCGACGCAGGAGTCGGCCGTCTTCGCGCAAGCGGTCAACGTCGAGCGGCTGCTCAATATGCTGCGCGCCCTCGATCCGAGCAAGGGGGATAACCTCGCTGACGATGAGGAGATTCAGGTGTGTTTTTGACTTCACCTCCTGCGCTGGTTTCTAGTTCTTGGTGACTGACGCTTGTTTTTGTTTCGCAGGAGCTTTACCGTTCGTGCATGGCGCTGCGGCCCAAGATCGTCAAGCTCATTGACAAGTACAGTCAGAAGCGGGGTGCGTACTTACTCTTTACTCTTCTTCTTGACACCAATACTGAACTATACCCCAGCCGACCTCGTCTCAATGAACGAGACCTTCGTCCGCGCGCGCACGATCTTCGACCGCATGATGGAGGAGAGCCTTGCCCGGCACTCGGGCGGCGTCTACTACCCGCAGCAGCAGCAGACGCCGTACGGCGCGCCCGCAGGCGGCCCCGCAGGACCCGCGTACTTCCCTACGCCGGCGGCGGGTCCTGGAGGTTATCCGGATGCGGCGGCGTACCAGTACGCCCAGCAGCAGCAACAGCAGGGACAACAGCAGCAAGCACCGCAGCAGCAACAGGGAGCGCAGCCGGGGTATGGGGCGTATGGACCGCAGGGGCCGACGCCGTACCCCGCGCAGGGCCAGCCGCAGCCTCAGCCTCAGGCGCAGGGAGCGCCGGCATACCAGCAGCCGCAGGCGCAGGGACCGACGCCGTACCCGGCCCAGCAGCAGCCGGCACAGGCGCAAGCGCAGGGGCCGACGCCGTACCCGGCCCAGGCGCAACCTCAGCAACAGCCCGCCGCCCAGCCTCAGCCTCAGCAGCAAGCGCAGCCCGCTGTCCAGCAAGCGCAAGCACAACCTCAGCCCCAGCAACAGATGCAGCCTCAGCCCGAGCCCCAGCCACAGGCACAGCAGCAACAGCAGCCCGCTCAGCA